TTCTTGCATATAGTACAGAAAAATGAAAAGCAAATGTACATGGAAACTCAGATTAGATGAGAGAAGGTAATAAAAGGAAAACTGGAAACACCTAAAAGTACAAAAATTATGTTTAGTGGTAGAGACACAACTACCAAATCAGCCACTTAAGTAAACACTTAAATATATCTCACTGATTTAGTGAGTCTACCCTGTTTGCAATAATCAACTCAACATTTGGATGATAACAAAGTAATCTGTTGATACCTAAATCCAAAGGTTTTGCCATGATAAAGCTCTTAATTCTGTTTCTTTTAATACTGTAAGCCACCTTGAATTACCTGGAAAGGAAAGGCAGCATATAAAAATGAATGAATGAATGAATGAATGAATGAATGAATGAATGAATGAATGAATGAATGAATGAAGTCTCAAAATTGTATTGCATCCCTGATCAGTTTGTTGAGATCTGCTTACAATGCCCAATTTCATAATATGATAGAAACTGCCATGACAAATTATTGTAGAATGTGCTGAAAACAAACATACTATTATACCCCTATTTTCAAAGAGTAAAAATAACTGGCTTATCTTACTTAAGTTTGTTAAGAAAGACAAGCCTTCATTGGTTGGTTAAACTTCTAAGCAGTAGTTCAAAATTTATCATTAAAGCCTACAATAATTTTAAAATTAAAATGATGCTAGCAATTCAGTACTTTTATGGAGATCATGTATTGCAGAGTAAATCATAGAATTGTTGTAGGGTTGGAGGGGACCTTGGAGGTCTTCTAATCCAACCCGCTGCCCAAGGCAAGAGTCCTCATGCCATCCCGTACATCATACTATCCCAGACAGATCGCTGTCCAATCTCTTCTTGAAAACCTCTAGCGATGGGGCACCCACAACATTGGGAGGCAAGCTGTTCCACTGCTTAATGTTTCTCACCATCAAGAAATTCCTCCTTATTTCCAGGTTGGATCTCCCTCTGATGAGTTTCCACCCATTCATTATTGTTCTACCCTCAGGCGCAATGGAGAATAAATCAATGCTCTCTTCCTTGTGGCAACCCTTCAGATATTGGAAGACTGCTATCATGTCTCCCCTCAGTCTTCCTCTTCATTAAGCTAAACATACCTAGTTCTTAAAAGTGCTGTCTTCATAGGATTTAGCCTCCAGTCCCTTTATTATCTTTATTGCTCTTCTCTGCACCCCTTCCAGGGCTTCAGTAACTGTGGTAACCAGAACTGGACACAACACTCCAAGTGTGGCCTCACCAGCATGGTATAGAGCGGTACTATTACTTCCTGTGATCTTGATGCTATCCCTCTGTTGATGCAGCCTAGGATTGTGTTGGCTTTCTTGGGAGCTGCAGCACACTGCTGACTCACCATTAGGTGGTGGTCCACCAGGACACCTAAATCCCTCTCACAGGTACTACTGTTGAGCCAGGTACCACCTATCCTGTACCTGTGCATCTGGTTTCTCCTGCTTAAGTGCCTTACTTTTCCTGCCACTGACTGTATCTTATTGGATAGGGCCCAATGTTCAAGTCTGTATAGATCCTTCTGAATGTTGAGTCTATCTTCCAAAGTATTAACAATTCCCCCCAGCTTTATGCCATCAGCAAATTAGATGGGTGTTCCTTCAATCCCCTCGTCCAGGTCATTTATGAAGATGTTGAAGAGCACTGTGCCTAAGACTTAACTGCACTGCACACTTCCCTCCACGTAGAAGTGGTTCCATTGGGGACCACACATTGAGTATGGTTGGTTAGCCAGCTGCAAATCCACCTGGTAGTTGTGCTGTCTATCCCATTTTGTTCTATCTTATGTAGAAGTAGGTTGTGGTCTACCTTATCAAATGTCTTACTGAAGTCTAAGTATTACTCTATTGACTGTGTTTCCTTGGTTCACTAATTTAGTCACTTTATCAAAGAAGGCAATAAGATTTGTTTGGCATGACCTGTTCTTAACAAACCCATGCTGGCTTCTAGTAGAATCACAGAAATCATATCATAGAATCATAGAAAAGTGAAGCTGGAAGGCGCCTACAAGGCCATCAAGTCCACCCCCTGCTCAATGCAGGAATGCAATCAAAGCATATCTGCCAGGTGATTATCTAAGTTTTTTTCAATGCCTCCAGCATCGGAGCACTCACCAACTCCTGAGGTAACTGGTTCCACTATTGTACTGCTCTAACAGGAAATTTTCCCAGATATTCAACTAAAATCTGGCTTCCATTAACTTGAGCCCATTGTTGCATGTCCTGCACTCTGGGATGATCAAGAACAGATGTTGTCTCTCCTCTGTATGACAACCTTTCAAATATTTGAAAAGTGCAATCACTCAGTGTTATCACTCAGTCTTCTTTTCTCAAGGCTAAATATGCCCTTTCCTTATAAGACTTGGCTTCCAGCCCCCTGATCATCCTTGTCACCCTACTCTGAACCTGTTCCAATTTTTAGCATCCTTCTTGAAGTGTGGTGTCCAGAACTGGACGCAGTACTCAAGGTGAGGCCTAACCAGTGCTGAATAGAGGGGGACTAGCCCCCTGCGGGAATTTGGGAACTATTCTTCCATTAATGCAGCTTAAAATGGCATTTGCCTTTTTTGAAGCCACATCACACTGTTGGCTCATATTTAGCTTGTGAACTACGACAATCTCAAGATCCTTCTTGCTCATAATTTTGCTAAGCCAGGTATTTTCTAATTGTGCCAATTGGTTTCTTTTTCTGAGGTGCAGAACTTTGCACTTACCCCTGTTGAATTTCATTCTGTTGCTTTCGGCCCAGTGCTCCATCCTATCAAGGTCATTTTGAATTCTGTTTCTCTCTTTTAGAGTATTAGCTATTCTGCCCAATTTTGTATCACCTGCAAATCTGACAAGCATATCCTGCACTCCCTCATCCAAGTCATTAATAAAAATACTGAAGAGCACAATTTATAGATATACATATACTTATTCTAGTTGTTTATTTCTTTAGCAATGGTATGTGTATTCACAAAGTCAGATCAAATGTTATACAGATTAGAATTCTAGATGGAAGAAAGGAAGTAGCATTAAATATCCTTCCTAAAAGTTGCTCTACTTTTGTACCTGAAGAACTGCTATAGAAGATTCAAAACAGTTTTTTGTCAGCCTGTTTCTCATGTATGAGAAAGAGTGGAATCTTTGAAAGAAAGACTATATAGAGGGAGAGTGAATAAAAAGCACCAGCTAGAGAAGTGGAAGAGAGAACTGGAGTCAAATGCCTTAATACAGCATTCACTGAGCAATGGTTCTGAGGTCAAAGAGTTACAAGCAATACTTCTGTATTCTAGTACAAAGTAGTATAGCAGTAGACATGCTTGAGAAGAGACAATTCTAATTTTCACTAGTGCTAGATAACTAATTGTTTGGTTAACTCTGTCCCCTCCTATCACTGCAACATAATTTCCCCCAAGTTTACTGCATCCCTTTACAATGTCTACAAACCAGGACCAAAGAGTATCACTGACAGAAAGAGATTTATCCACAAAAGCACCACTTTCAATGTTGGCCTTTGTTTTCTTCACTCTAAATTTTCATCCCTAAATTACACAACCCATATAATGATGATTCAACAGGTCTTTAGCATCCATGGATTACTAAGGCCTCCAATTTTTTCTTCTGTCAGAACCAGGCTTCTAAAAGGAATAATGGTGCCCCAGCAAAACACAGCATTATGCATATTCCAGATGTATATGTGTAAGGCTGGATGCTACCAGCTTCTGCTACCCAAACATATTCAGGCAGTAGTTAAACAGGGAACAGAACACTTTGTTTATAAAGCTGGAACAAAATAATAATAATACTAAGCTGGTTCACTGACAGGATTCTTTTTGTTGTTGTTACGCTTTAATCTTTTTTTTAACCATTCCCTGAACTCTGTATCAACTGCTTTCTCTACGAAATATCAAACTCACTTGTTAAAATCCGACCTCTTTTCCAGCTGCACATTTTGTCCCTCACTTCTCTCTCCCACTCCATTCAAACTCACAGTTCTAAATTTCCTTCTGTAGTTCCCCTCCACAGTATTCCAAAGGCTGTTACAGACTGAATTAAAGCCAGAATGGCCATCAGTGCTGTCCATCACATATAGTAATAACGGTATCAATCAAATTTTTAAAGGACAAGATCATGTACAAACTTTGTAGACAAACAGATCCTGCCATGAGGCATGGGTTGCAAATGGTAGAAGGAGGGAGGGAAGGGAAAAGGGGGAAAGCAGAAAAGGAAAAACAGACTTGATCTTGGAGTCCTTATGTATCCATTGTGATGGAAAAAAATCAGCAGAATATTTCTGTTACCTGCAGTCCTCCTTTTCTGGGTCCTACTACTAAATTGCTAGATTTGATAATTTTCTTTCTTTCTTTCGCCTAATGAAGGCAATATTCTGACAGTTCTGATTTTGGACTTTTTTTTAATGGCCAGCATAGGTGGCTCTGCATTATATATGGATTGAAGGATACCAAATCTAGATGTTCAACAGCAGGATACAATTGCTCTTTTGCCCCTTATCTACCTAGTGATGTGCTCTAAATCATGATATTATCCTTTAATAGTTACCTGAGATGGAAGCTAAGATAAAAGAGTGCATCAATGTATCTATGTTTTCATGCAGATGGTGGGATTGATTGGACCTGTGAATTTATTTGTTTTTTGGGGAGTATAGCTTCAATTACAACTTTTTAAATTCACTTTTATTTCTTTTAAACTAAATTTTTCTTGCTTTTTAAGAGAATATAGCTCGTGATTCTGAATTTTCAGCTCAAAAGTGTAGACTCTTTCACCCTAACAATGAAATTGGAGAGTACTGAACAAAACTCTTTCAAAACTAAAAAATTACTTTCAGTATTTTTTAAAAAATATCTTTTTGCAAAACATGTATAAAACATTTTATATACTGTATTATCTATTAAACTATTGAGCCAAAATTATGATTCTGAATAAAACCTTTGGACAGACTACACAGAAAACATAAAAAAAATATACACACATACTGGCTTTTAGCACCAAGTCAGTCGCCTGCTGCTGTAAGCGTTCCCTAGCAGCCGCCAGCTCACTTTCCACCTCTTTGTGTTTGCTTAACAATGACATTTCCTCTTCTTTGACGTCATCTAGCTGTTTTTGAAGAGCCTAAGAGAATAGAGAATATTATTGAAAAGGCAAAGTAATGCTCTTAAAATTGAAGCAGTGGAAATGAAATTTACCAATGCCAATGACGTTGTAGCATAGGAGGATTATTACCCATTTATAAAACAAAGACAGTTAATAACTTTCTTGTCTACACATTTTTTGCATGTATTTAGTCATACAGTTTTGTTTCTTCAGACTATAGGTGCCTTCTGCATAAAAATCTGACAGACCTGTGTCTATAATTGTACTTTTGACATAAATTTGTGGATATTTACATAAAATTATGTACATTTTAGACTGCATTATTTGTGAAGTGCTGCTACTGCTGGAAATTACAAAGTGAAGAGCAAATGCAATCTTTTCACATAAAGGTTTGGATTAAAAAACTAGGACTAGAAGCATTATATCCAACAGAAGTGTTATGCAAGAACTTGTGCAAAAATAAAAAACATGCTAAGAACAATGAATGGAATTCAACTAAATTCAGAGGCTAGCTACATGAGAGTTTATTCCACTCTGAACCCCCCTGCTGGAATGGTTGGGATCACTCTAAAAACTCCTGTCCTCTGAAGATGCCAGCCACAGAGACTGGCGAAACGTTAGGAAGAACAACCTTCAGAACACGGTCAAGGAGCTAGAAAAACCCACAACAACCAGCCCAGACCATATCACTAACTGTGGCTAATGTGGCTGTACCTTCACTTTGTTGATCAAAAGCATCTGTTAGTTAAATATGAAGGAAAGCACTTTGGGCAACTCCCTTTTGTAGCCTCCTAACCCAAATCCGATCTCTTAAAATGCATATGGAATACACAGAATAGTTGAAAATCACAGCGTTCACTGTTCTTCTGATGGAAGACTTCAACAAATGATGATCACATTTAATAATTTCATGGTCATTCAGAAAAGCTAAAATAACTATTCTTATATCAATAAAAAGAGCTTGCAAGCAAAAGGAAAGAATGACTAAGCTATCTGCCACTAAATGCAAATCAGTATCATTTATTATGTATTACAATATACAATTATTATCATTTCTTCAATGTCTTAAGCTATGTTAGATGGCAGTCACAGAAAATTAGTAAGTACAGTACTTAAAATGCATGGAGAGAGAAAAATTAAAACATAATTGTACTACGTATTTATGGCTACATTATTTTAGCACCAACACTGTATGCCAAATTCACAGGAAGCATGAAAGTAGTTCACTCATAGGCATATATACATATGTGTGTGTTGCATGTTTTAAAATTTTGTGTCTCTGCATAATTTTATTGGCCTTTTTTTACTAGAATGCCTATGAGTGAACTACTTTCATGTTTCCTGTGAATTTGGCGCGCACACACACACACACACACACACACACTTTTCTTATCAGTAGCAAAAGACTGCATACAGCAGAACCAGTTTGGGATATTGAAACAACAAGCAAATAGAAAGATTAATCAAAAGCTTATTCATGAATAAGCTATGGAAGGATTTCAGATATCAAAAGAATGAGAGGAACAGCCTATATAAATGAAAAATTAAGTTCGAATGAAAGGTCAATAGTCAAGGTAAAAAAAGAATTCTTATCAGTAGCAAAAGACTGCATACAGCAGAACCAGTTTGGGATATTGAAACAACAAGCAAATAGAAAGATTAATCAAAAGCTTATTCATGAATAAGCTATGGAAGGATTTCAGATATCAAAAGAATGAGAGGAACAGCCTATATAAATGAAAAATTAAGTTCGAATGAAAGGTCAATAGTCAAGGTAAAAAAAGAAGAAATTTTAGCAGCAGTAGCAAGATTCAACAAGGTCTAAACACATTTTTAACACAATGAATTGTATCTAGCACTGTCCACCTAACAGAATAAAAACCAGAACAAATGTCATGTGGCATGCCTGAAACCCTGAAATCAATTTCTTGCAAATAAAAATACAAAATATCAACAATCTAGGATACAGGTTTATAATTAAAATATTTCATCAATATCGTCTGAAGGTTTCAGTTCAAAATATACGGGTAGGTTAATGACTAGAGAAGGGAGTATTCGTATATGAATACGATTACTCCCGCACAGGCGGACAAAACGAGGGTCCAGCTTCATGGGGCTGGATGGTCCACTTACCGGTCCACCGTGGGTGCGGGCACTGCGGAGCCTTCCAATGGCTCTGGAGATTGCGTTGGGCACACCACTCCTGGCAGGAGGTGGGACGACAAGCCTCTGCTAGGTCGAAGAGTGGCTCACTGAACGCGATCTCTGGAACCATTGGAAGGCTCCGCGGTGCCCACGCCCATGGCAGATCAGTGAGTGGACCATCTAACCCCATGGGACTGGACCCTCGTTATGGCCTCCTGTGGTGGACCTATATCTATTAATGACCCATTAGGTTTGTGAAAAAAATTATCCAGAAAAAAAATATTGATACTGGTTTGGATTCAGAAAACCAAGAGGGCTTTCCTCCCTCCTCTTTTCCATTGTAGCCACCCATACTGCCCCTAAAGGCCACTTTTTTGGATTAGGGAACTTTCTGGAATGGCATATGACATGATATGATTGATATGGACGTGACATGGATTCTGTCAAACATGAACATGAAAAAGAACAAAAATGGGAGATTAAGGTCTTATTTTATAGATCTTCCACTATATTTAAAGTACTGCCAGTATAGCAAGGTGGAATTTTACTGCTTGCATAATCATTACCATAGTACATGCAGAGGGTGGGTCTTCTTCACAGGCATCACTTCTTGCACAGTGGCAATGCCTGTGCAAGTAGCACAATCTTGTACTATTACTCTGGCATGAACTTTCTTTCAACCATACCTCAATAGGACTATAGGCCGATTTTCTTCTACAAACCTAGGTTTTCTGGATATGAGCCATTATTTTTAAACTGTGCAAAACAGTTGCCTTCGGCTTTCATTGTTAAAAAAGCTATGGCAGTCTCACCTGCAAAATCAAATTTTGTTGTAGCTTTGAATACAACCGGAATTTGTTGCTTCTTGATGTACTGCAGGGATGAGGAAGCTAACATAACACTACAGCTAGCGCTGTAACAAATATTCAATATTCCACAGGCAAAACTACTTAGCACATTATCAAATAGAATGATGAAGATCTGTGCTGCATTTCTATATTTAATATAGGAAGGACTGCAGGTGAGGCTGTGGTGCTTCCACATTATACATATCTTGTGTGTGTGTGTGTGTGTGTGTGTGTGTGTGTGTGTGTGTGTGTGTGTGTGTGTGTGTGTGTGTGTGTGTGTTTTATACATGATGAGTGATTGAGTTTTAATTGGCAATTTTAGGCTGAACTGGTGTCAAGCAAGTCTGTTAAAACCATTTGAGGGACAAATGGAATATGTGTGGATGGAAATGTGTTCTGACTGAATGGTGCGCTGCCAGGCTGTAGAGGTACTAGTATATATAGTGTGTGTGTGTTTGTAAGGTCAGGGCAGTTCAGTTCATGTTGAGCAGTTTGGCTGGCTTTGTAAGAAGCAGTCAGTGTGATGAGAGAGAGTTTTCTAATGGATTAGAGTAAAATCTGGATCTAAGAGTGAGAGCTGTGAGGTGTTTAATTATGAGCCATACTGAGATGTGTCCTTTTTTTGTGAAGCTCTGAAAAATATTTTGTTTTCACTGGAACTTGTGTAAATAAAGCATCTATCCATCAATAAATAAAGATTTTATTCAAACTATTAGAAGGAAATAAAACAAATGAGATTTTAATTCTACGGTAAGAACTTCATTTGTAATATTGAGCCTTCTTCCCTTTTTAAAATAATACTTCTTTTTTGGTTTACAAATCTTGATTTACAAAGCTTCTTATTCTTAAAAGACCCAGCACTCATAAATTGTTATTCCACACAAACTGCTGGTCAACAATAGAACACATAGTCAAAGTTGTGTCATCAAAGTAACACAGCCAAACAGCCCGAAAAACCAACAAGAACCAATAGATTGTGTGTTTAATCAAAAATGTTCTTACACTTTAGAAAAGGGCTGTGTAAATTCAGCCCTTATTTGTGGCTTTGTTTAAGCAGGAGTTGAAAGGGAACACTAGCTGTTTGACTGATTTTGATAAAAGGAAACTCTAGGGGAAGGAGTCCTTATTAAAGTTAAAAAGCAAACCCAAACTTAGTTAAGGGGTTTGGGAGTAGTTGTCATTTGCTGGTAGAACATAGCAGGCAGGGGAAAATGGGGTGAGAGCTACAGAGACCCACTCAGAAATGGTGGGTTTCAGACTGTCTGTAGCCCAGATAGTATAGCCTCTAGAAAAATGTGATCCAAAACTGAAGCAGGCAAAATATCCCACACAAAAGAATTGGTGTTGAGCTGGCAACAACCACTATAGCTCCCTACTAGCAGTGCTAAGAGAGTTTCCCAAGATATGTCTGTGAGATAGAGGGCGAGAGGGATACCCCACTCACTGGAGAGCCGTCCCTCCTCAACAACAAAACTAAAGAAGTGGACCCCAAACCCACACAAAAACCTACAGTGAAACCTCAGCAGGAGACAGAGATAGAGGATCTCACAGAAGACATACAGAAAGTGATGATGGGAGAGGTTCAGGGAGAAAAGGCAGGAAGAGAGAGGAAAAAGAGGGTGAAGTTTGAAGCAGGGACAGGAGAGGTAGAGAGGAAAGAAGAACAGTTACCAACTGGTTGGGAATGGGTGTGGATGCAGGATCCATAGACTAGATTATGGGAGAGATTAAGAGTGCCCAAAGAGGAGGCAGATTATAGAAGAGTGGAGATTCAACCTAGACGTTCTTATTGGGGCGAAGCCAAGGCGAGAGAGTGGAGGAGGAGATTGAGAGAGGAAAAGGAATGAGTTGAGAGAGAAAGGAGAGAAAGACTGGAATGAAGAGTAAGGGAAATGAAGAGAAGGAGTTACAGGGAGGATCCTCAGAATAGCAGAGACCCTGATGGACAGATCCTGTGGGATGACGATCTGGACGAGGAGACCATGCCCCTGCTGGAAGGCCCAACGAGGCAGACCGTAAAAGACTGGGTCCCCACTGATCTACTGGGACCATGGAACAATAGTTATAGAAACCCGTTCCTGTTTGATACAGTGGGATATCGACTTACAAACTTAATCTGTATTGGAAGGTGGTCTTAGGTCGAAAAGTTCTTAGGTCGAATCTGCATTTCCCATAGGAATGCATGAAAACCATTTAATCTGTATCTGCTCTTTTCCATCCATAGAAACTAATGGGAAGCTGCTATTCCGCCTTCTGCCACTAGAGGGGGATATTTTTTTTCCCCCTTAGGTTCAGGAAACGAGGAGGAAGGCAGGGAACAGTTTGCAAAGCACTTTAGAAATCTTTTTTTTTCAACGAAGCCAATTTTAAATCATGTTTTAAAGCATGTTGTGCTGATTTTTTCAGCACAAAGACACACAGGCAGGCTTTTTAGGTGCTGAGCAAGCCTCCCCAAGCCTCTTCAGAGCCAGCCCATCAGCTGATAGGTGGGGAGAGGAGGGGGCAGGAGCGGGGGGGGATCACAAAATGGCTGCCAGGCTCCCTTCTGGGTGTCAGCTTTTAGCTGTTTCCTGCTCTTTTTCCTGCTGTTTGGGAGCTACCAAGGCCTGGTAAGTGACTTTCCTTTAATTATTGTTAAGTTTCTGACCCCTTTTCCCCTCCAGAAGCCTCTAAGGGGAGGGAGGGGGCACTTTTTTCCCTGTACGTTACTCGAGGGAAGTTCGTATGTCGCTGCCAGGCTCCCTTCTGGGTGTCAGCTTTTAGCTGTTTCCTGCTCTTTTTCCTGCTGTTTGGGAGCTACCAAGGCCTGGTAAGTGACTTTCCTTTAATTATTGTTAAGTTTCTGACCCCTTTTCCCCTCCAGAAGCCTCTAAGGGGAGGGAGGGGGCACTTTTTTCCCTGTACGTAACTCGAGGGAAGTTTGTATGTCGCGTCCTTATTTCTCCTATAGGGCGGGCTCGTAAGTTGAATTGTTCGCAAGTAGGGTCGTTCGTAAGTCGAGACCCCACTGTAAATGGAAACCCCTTCCGGACCCATTGGCAGAAGGAGAAAAGACTCATAATCATGCTCCAGACACTTGTTTATTGTTAAATGCACCAATACATCTTTCACATGTTTTGAAGCAGCAAAAATCTACTGATTTCCTTGAACAAAACATGGAGCCAAAAATTTAACCCTCACAACGTCTTTATTTTGTGTTATGAAAGCAATGTTTTACTGCATTCCATACATACTCCTGTTGGCCTGAATGACAATAGTTACTGAAAAACTGGGTTGAAAATAAGCGGTGAACAGGCCAAAAGCATGCCACATGATCCTGCAAAGTTTCTTGTAGCCATACTCTTCTTTCACAATGAGAGACACTGAAGGAGGTCTGAACTTTTTGGGACTCCTAATTTCCTTGATAAGGAGTTTTGTCTGGTTAGTTTTTGGTTAATCAAGCTAAAGAAGATGGATGACACTGCTTAATAAATAATTCAAAATTATTTGCAAGTTTTTGGATAAAATCCTGGTACTACTTCATTTCATATGTTTGTCACTAATTTCAACTGTTTTTGTGCACACTGTAGTTCTTGGCTAACACCTCTATAGATTTTGTACATCCTAAAACCTAGAAATATTGGACATACAGTTTATAACAGGGACAAAAGCAACTAGAATTTGATATATTTCATCATTCATAGTAAGCTGCAACATTCCTGTTTGCCTGAAATGAAACACTGATACTCACTTCAACCTCATATGATACACAGGAAGCATTTTTGACCAGGCTGAAATATAAAAAATGTGGGCTGAATGGCATATACTGTTACTTTCCTGCATGTAATTTTGTTTCACATACTTAATGATACAAGTATTTTTATTCATTTTCTTACATGGAAACACATTACATGTGATTAATGCTTAATATTTAGATAACTTTCAGATTCAATATTCAAAGAGCAGCTTGCCAAGAACATAGGAAAGTTGGGAAAATCTCTGTAGAAATCATTGTGATAAATACTTGAAATTTCATAAGCAAGCTAGACACAAATGTCTAATTGTTATGTCTTTCGTGCTACATTATTTTTTTCTAAACAAATAGCATGGCAATGGTTATCTCACCTGCACATTGTTTTCCGCTGTATTTAATGCTACTTGAAGCTTCTGACATTTTTCTCGTAAACCAACTGCTTCATCTTGTACCATCTGCAATTCAGTCTTAAGTTTCCCCACATTTTTCCGTAAAATAGATTCTTGGCTTTGAAATTCCTTTCTTAGCTCTACTTCTTTTTCTTTGCAAGCTTTCAGACTTTCAGCTGTAAACAGTTGAGAACGTTTCATAGTGTCAAGTTCATGCTCATAGAAAGATTGAGCTTTGCTGAGTTTACCTTCATACTCCTCAATTAGCTTTTTTCTTTCTATCCTTAGCTCTTCAACTTTGGCATTCAATTCTTCCACATCCCGTCTATGCAATTCTTCTAACTTTTCCTGTCCTTTGCTTAAAGTAGCATTCTGATTCTGATGGGTCTTCATAAGTTCTTGCACCTCAAGTCTGTGTGCAGCTCTCAGTTCTTCAAGAGCTGAACGCTTATCTTTCTCAAACTGTACCTGTAGTTGAATAAAATTCCGTAATCTCTCCTCAAATTTTTTTCTAATTTCTTCTACTTCTCGTGACATAGTTACTACACGTTGGACATGCTGAGCTTCTGCACAAAGTTGCATATCCTCAACTCTGTCCTTATAAGCTTCAAACTCTGTTAATGCTTGATGCTTCATCTTTTTATGATCTTCCAAAGATTCTTCTAAAACCTGGATCTTCCTTTTCAAATCCATTTCTTCAGAAACTTTACTCTTATACTGCAGAATCTTTTCTCTTGTTTCAGCAAGAATCTGTTGAATTTCCTCTTCATGAGCATCCTTGAGAGCTTGAATAGCAGCTTCGTGTTCATCATTCTTTGTGTTCAACGCATATATTACCTGCACATACAATGGAATTCAATGGAATTAGTAGAACAGTCAACATACAAAATATAACTCCCTTTTTCACAATTTCAAGGTAATCTGAAATGGGACATTTTGTGGCACAGATTAGAACACCACACACAGTTAAAAATCATGTTTCTAAAGCAAATGATACATAGAATACATTAAGGGAAGAATGAGTGTATTCAGATACCAACAGGAAGATGTCTTGATCACAGTTTTCTTATAAAGATACCTTGAGGGAAAGCAGCAGTCCTAGAAGCATACTGATAGAGCTATACTAGCATAAATACACAACAGGATTCCAGTCAACATAGGTTAATTATGTGTTGAATGATAGGACAGCATAGGTATAGTTCAACATTGACTTAAGCATGCTTAAACCTAACAATTTTGATTAGCCTAAACATGTTGACTATGGCTTAATTGTATGGTGAACCATGGCTCCCTAGTTTCATACATTTGAAATTTATATACAAAATTAAGAGATCCCAGAGACTATAGGGGGGAAAAGCCTGATGTAATAATCCAGTGAGCAGACTTAAAAACAGCTTTGGGCCACTCTATACATGACACTAAACATGTAATTTGCAACCACAGTTAAAGAGATAACAGGATATGGGGAACAGGAGCAACGAAGGCCTTCTCCTGTGGCTAATAGCTTGTGAATGCTGGAAGATTTCAGGACTACAATCAGAAAGGAAGGGCTTAGATTGTCTTGCTTTCTACAGTCCTGAGGAAAAGTAACCCCAAAGCCTACATAAAAAACATGTGTGATCTCAAGTGATGTGATTAGTGACATGCCTAGTTTGCTTTAGTACAACTATTTATGTAATTACAGTCTAATTATTTATAATGCATTAATATTCAGTCTGAGCTCAAGACAGGAAGAAGACAAGAGAAAAAGGATTGCATTTAACAGTACATGTATGTTACAATGTATTTTGAATTGCAAAGTTCAGAACATTTTACCCCCTTGGATTTTATGCTAACAATTTATCAGGCCATTCTTCTCTTTTAGAAATAACATAGAAAAGAACTGTAAATATTAGATGTAACTGTAAAAAAAAATTAATCAGGAGCATAATTTCATGCATGTCTCCAAAGACATGAAGATTTTTTTTTCAATTATGTAGCAACATTGTTATTTTGTTTTCTTTAAAAAAGAAAACAATGCATGCTTAAGGAACAGGAACAAGAATGTTTACTCTAAAACAACATACACACAATATTTTAAAAGACGTGTTCACTCTATGTGTTTGTCTACTTCTAGGCAGATGCTTTGTTTACAGCTTCACTTGGTCTCTGGAAACTAGAAGAGCAATAGTTTTAGTAGTAGTATAGTATGGTCATAAACGAATAATATATCCCCCAATATTTGAAACAGTTTAAATAAAACTAACCAGGGAAACTAAACATATTCATATATTTCCAATGTCTGTCCCAGTAACGTGGAACAGCAGTGTGTTACTTTTGCAGATAGGGTGACAGTAACTGTAATGATCTCTCATGGACTCAAAGTGTGAGAAATGGAAAGAGTTACTTTTTTAAAGCAATAATAGGTGCTCTGTTTATTTCTTACCCATTTGTCTGGTTTCTCTTCTCTTGCTGCTCAGTGATGAATAACATGCACATCAAATGTAACACAGACTGTAAAAATAGTTCTGTATGCAGACCAAGGGCATCCATTTAACATTTAGGCTTGCAGTCACAGGCAAAAAGGAAATCCATGCGCGTTAGTGAGTTGGTAAAAGGACATTGGAAGGAGCCTCCCCAAAGAATATGAATACATTAATGTGTCCTCTGGACAATGACAATGCTGGCTAATCTGTCCACTTCAGAAGCACCAACATAAGGTGACTTTCATTGTACTGTGCCAATGGATAAGTGACTATGATTTGGACAATAGCCCACAAGTGGCCATCAACAACAAAAAGGGCCCTGAGGGCCAAAATTAACAATCATTTCAATCAATAGGGACAGGTGATTATAATATACTTTGTATTCAAGAAACACATAGAGAAGACAATAAGCAAAGCCTCAGAACATCCAGCATAAGACTTGCAGCCGAGAGATCTTATATAGAGTACTGTATCAGTCAAACCTGACCTCCAAATAATGTCTACAGTGGGGTCTTGACTTGAGAACTTAATCCGTATTGGAAGGCGGTTCTCAAGTCAAGAAGTTCTCAGGTCAAATCTGCATTTCCCATAGGAATGCATTGAAAACCATTTGATCCGTATCTGCTCTTTTCCGTCCATGGGAAGCTGCTATTCTGCCTTCGACCACTAGAGGGGGATATTTTGTTTCTTTTTTTTCTTAGGTCAAGAAAGGTTCAGGGAAGGCAGGGAAAATACAGTCCAGGCAGTACCGTACCAGGCAGTCTGAAGACTCCCAATCCACTCTCTAAACGCTGGGAGGAGGGAGGAAGCAGACAGGCACCCTTTTCACTGGCCAACAGTTAACTGAACGTTCAAATTTTGCACTTTCCCTGCCTCCCACATGGGCTTTTTTCAGTTCTTAACTCAAATCTAAGTATGCAAGTCAAGTCAATATTTTCCTATGAGAGTGGTTCTTAAGTCAAAATGTTCTTAACTCAAGTCGTTCTTAAGTCAAGACCCCACTGTACTATTGTCCCAGAACAAGATGATATAGAGATAATAATAGTGGAGCAGAGTGATTGTTTGATATCCTTAGTTTATAAAACATCTACCGTGTTTCCCTGAAAATAAGAGAGGGTCTTATATTAATTTGTGCTCAAAAATGTGTTAGGGCTTATTTTCAGGGGATGTTTTATTTTTTCATGTACAACATTATTTATTCAAATACAGTCATGTCATATTCTTCTGGCTGCTGTACAATGGTGGAGGGCATGGTTTCACTTAACTGGGGCTTATTTTGGGTGTAGGGCTTATATTACGAGCATCCTGAAATATCATACTAGGGCTTATTTTCAGGTTTGGTCTTATTTTGGGGGAAACAGGGCAATGTAATCTTCTCCTTTAAAATCCTTGATAGTTTTCATAAGGAAAAAAAAAGCTTTATAACTGGAGATTATAATTGGAATCACAGTAGTGTCTTGGAATATGCACTTGATACTAAAAATGGAGAAGATATATTAAAATAGGCAGAGACTCTCCCACTAATCACTAAATCTAGTATACATGTGTGGCCATACTCAGCTTTTGTTTCCTCTGATATCAAGAACTTGAATATAACATGTTCATTTTCCCTCACTGTTCCCTTACTGGTGCTTTATCTACTGAAGTCATTCTTGTTCGTTCAAATCAAGTCAATGATAGTTAATCTTTAGTTTCTTCCTCCATGTTTTGTAGGAGAAAATTATCAGCTACATAACCTATGAATTTCTTGGAAAGGTCATATCTGTAAAAATTTGCCTCCCAACAGAGATCAGGTTAACAGAAATCTCCTCTTACTACAAATTGTGCCTCTCTGAAATACTTGCAATTTGTTTTTCAAAGGTTTCATCTGCATCTTCTTGATCAAGCTAGTGATACAGGAGACTCCAACTACCATGTACTTTTTAAGTTTGCCTCAGGTTTGTTTTAATCCAGATGCTCTGTAGTGGAAGCACTCTTCTCTCACAACTGGCTGACTTTAAACCTGGGAAGAATTGTACAGCACAGATCCTACATTTACAGCAACATATAGATGAACATGATAAAGGACAAAAATGGGAGGGACCTAAAAGAAGCAGAAGACATTAAGAAGAGGTGGCAAGAATACACAGAGGAATTATATCAGAAAGACTTGGATATCCCAGACAACCCAGACAATATAGTTGCTGACCTTGAGCCAGAAATCCTGGAGAGTGAAGACAAGTGGGCCTTAGAAAGCCTGGTGAACAACAAGGCCAGTGGGGGTGATGACATTCCAGTTGAACTATTTAAAATCTTAAAAGATGATGCTGTTAAGGTGCTACATTCAATATGCCAGCAAGTTTGGAAAACTCAACAGTGGCCAGAGGACTGGAAAAGATCAGTCTACATCCCAATCCCAAAGAAGGGCAGTGCCAAAGAATGCTCCAACTACCGTACAATTGCACTCATTTCACACGCTAGCAAGATTATGCTCAAAATCCTACAAGGTAGGCTTCAGCAGTATGTGGACCGATAACTGCCAGAAGTACAAGCTGGATTCCCAAGGGGCAGAGGAACTAGAGACCAAATTGCAAACATGCACTGGATTATAGACAAAGCCAGAGAGTTCCAGAAAAACATCTACTTCCGCTTCATTGACTATGCAAAAGCCTTTGACTGTGTGGACCACAGCAAACTATGGCAAGTCCTTAAAGAAATGGGAGTGCCTGACCACCTTGTCTATCTCCTGAGAAACCTATATGTGGGACAGGAAGCAACAGTTAGAACTGGATTCGGAAACACTGATTGGTTCACAATTGGGATAGCAGTACAACAAGGCTGTATATTGTCCCCCTGCTTATTTAACCTATATGCAGAATACATCATGCGGAAGGCTGGACTGGAGGAATCCCAAAACGGAATTAAGATTGCTGGAAGAAAAATCAACAACCTCCGATATGCAGATGATACCACTCTGATGGCAGAAAGTGAGGAGGAATTAAAGAACCTTGTAATGAGGGAGAAAGAGGAGAGTGCAAAAAATGGCCTGAAACTCAACATCAAAAAAACTAAGATCACGGCCACTGGTCCCATCACCTCCTGGGAAATTGAAGGGGAAGATATGGAGGCAGTGACAGAGTTTACTTTCTTGGGCTCCATGATCACTGCAGATGGAGACAGCAGCCCCGAAATTAAAAGACACCTGCTTCTTGGGAGGAAAGCGATGACAAACCTCAACAGCATCTTAAAAAGCAGAGACATCACCTTGCCAACAAAAGTCCAAATAGTCAAAGCTATGGTTTTTCCTGTTGTGATGTATGGAAGTGAGAGCTGGACCATAAAGAAAGCTGACTGCCGAAGAATGGATGCCTTTGAATTGTGGTGCTGGAGGAG